CAGCCACATCTGTCTGCCCCTCTCCCCCGCGAATGGGACTCATTCGGGGGGGAAGGGGAGCAGACAGACGTGGCTGGGTGAACCAAGGGCTGCTGGTGGCCTAGGTTTAATTTCCTCTCCGCGCCACCAGCAGCTCTTGGTTGAGCTGCTGGCGCCCCGGAGAACAGGTCACCAGCAGCCAAGAACTGTTGGTGACCCAGAGAGGAAATAGAACCGTCGGTGGTCTAATCTGTCTAATGTCCTTCACCAGATAGCCTCGAATCCAACCCAAGCACTAGGCAACAGTGGCGCTTCTATGGCTTTCTGACTGGCTACCTAACCTCCATCTCTGGGCACCGCTGTGGAGTCTTCCAGAATCTCACAATCCAGGAGGTTGAAGAGGCCTCCAGAAGCCCCGACGAGTCTGCTTATGTCATTAACGTGAGTATGGCGCAAGTAAGGTGGGTGTCACCAGTAGCATGCTCTCTCACTCACTGCTTGTTCTCTGACGGCAGATTACCACTCACAAAACAAACAGAGCCTTTGGGGCGGCGCAGCTGTCCCTAAACAGGGAGGAATACAGCTGGTTCTGCAGGTTTTTGGCGCTGCGGGCTGGTCTCCCCGGAGGGAGCCAGGCTACCTATTTCTTTTTCACTTCCAGAGCCAGTCCTTGTCGGACCCTGAACAAGTACTTTCAGTCTGCTTGGGTCAGTATGGGCCTTCCAGGCAAACCCACCTTTACTGACGTACAGACTGCGATCGCGACCCATGTGAGTAGGCATTGTGACGCCCCTGTAACTACCAGCGGCGGCTTCGATCCTAATCAAGCTTCTGTCTCTCTCCGACGCAGGCAAAGAATGCACACTCTTCAGAGGATCGCCGCAAGGTGGCGCAATTCATGTGCCATGACACTTCAACCTCAGATAAGTTCTACGCACTTCACCTCGGACCTCTCCAAGCACGCGAGCGCCGCAGACTCTTTGAAAGGGTCCTGGTGGAGGAGGAGGAGGAGGATGGGGAGGCAGCGGGCACTGAAAGCCCCCCGCGGAAAGGGCGCAAGAGGACAGAGACTCCCGTCTCTCCCCTGGTAAAAATCAGATTCTCTTTGGCGTGGACAGCAGAACGTGTGGCATTGGCTAACTGCCCTTTATGTGTCTCTTTTCCAGGAGGGAACCAGCAGGAGGACGCTGCCATGGCGCCCTGCCAGGGGGAAAAGCCAGGGCGCTCGCCCGCTCGAACAAACAGAAGACTCTGAATCGTCCTGAATAAATATTGTACAACTTAACGGTCAAATGGTGTTCAGTGTCTTCATTATTCCTTTTATTTATTATCTGTGTGGTAAAAGTAGATTCAGTAGGCACAAAAATGAGCCCTGTCTTCTTAGTTCAACGCTGTATGCCTGCTGCGTCCAGGTTCTGCCTTGGTTACGTTCCGATTGGGACAGATTAGCCCTAACTTGTGTGTTAAAAGTGTCACGTGGGATGCCCTCGTCCAGGTTCTGCCTTGGCTACGTTCCAATTGGGACAAACTATCCCTGCCTTGTGTGTTAAAAGTGACTCGCGGGACGCCCCCGTCCAGGTTCAGCCTTAGTTGATAGCTCATAGGGAGAATGAATCCTTTTTGCAGCACAAGGACGTGATGGGCTGGACAAATCTGTCCAGGTCTGCAAATGCTTTGAACGCCCAGAAGGCCTGGAGTCCAATTCTGTATATTAGCAAGCTTCTCCCGGGACAGCTCGGTCCTTAGAGATGCATGAATAGGTCAGGACAGGGCAGCTGTGGAGTGGAGGTTAACTTTATGGAGGACATGCGCGTACCTGCCTTTAATGTTTACTTTTGCAAACCGAACCTGCATAGGCTGTGAGTAACAGGTAATAAAATTGTAAATAATGTTCAGTTTGTTGCACAGAGCAATCATTTATCAGGAACCATGCTGGAAGTATTATTTGCATGAGTTTTTTTGTTTTTTCTCCAAGTGACGACAGCAATGATATGAGCTGCACTCTGCAGTGAAAGTGAAACAAAATATTCCATTTTACAATTATGATTAAGACAAGCATTTGATATGTTTTTTTTTCATAGCAAACACAAAGTGTTGTGAATGCAAATAAATGTTTACTGGGTCAGTATAACTCCTCTAACCTGTATAATGTTGAATATAATACGAGAAGGAATCTGATAATGACAAATGTTTCATTTTATACATTTTATCAGTAAATAAAATGGTCTAATAGCGTTGTCAGCGACAAATGACAATCATATTTATCAAACATAATAATTCAACTTCAGAATTATGAATAGTTGTATTGTGATGTCATCATTTTGCTGTAAATTAACAAACAGGACATATTTAAAGTCTGTTCAAGTCCACCATATAGGCTTGGGCGGTATCCAAATTTTGATACCGTCAAACCGCCTCCATACTTTACCCCGGTATCCGGTATTACCGGCGTAAAAAAAAAAAATTATGACGTAAGGCTCAGACAGTGTCACCAAACTGTTGGCTTAAGCCTAAACCATTCAGAAACTGAATACATTCTATGCGACCTTAGGCTCGCGGTCAGAGAGAGAGAGAGAGAGAGAGAGAGAGAGCCAAGCGACGCACAGCATCTCTCTCTCTCTCTCTCTCTTTTACACATACACACACACACACACACACACACACACACACACACACACACACATCTCTCCCGCGATTTATTCACAAATTTACTCCCACACCGTAAGAAATCTGGCCGGCTCCCGCGGAACAGCAGCGGGAATGCAGAGCTGTAATCGGGCAATAAAAATTATACCCGATAGGTCCCGAGTCCGACAGGTACATTTTGATTGACAGCTTTATAAAGCCTAAACCCTTTTACAGCCCGACATTAAAATGTGCTCATGCACACAGCTCTAATGCATTTTTTTTCAAGAATGAGTCATTTATATGTTTTAACATCATTTATTCATAACAAGCGTAGACTATAGGCCACTTGAAAGTTGGAACAGAAATAAAATAAGTCCTACAGCTGTAACATCGTAACATCTCAGCACTCTATAGGTCTAGGTACATGCACTTAGCCTTTAAATTAGCCTACACACCAATGAAAAGAAATCTTGCTTAACAAATCAAATTAAAATAAACTCTAAATGATGACGGGTATTTTGGCAATAACGAAATTAAGATAAAGGCTCTGCAAGATGTGTTTCTCCACTTCTCTTCACAATCTGGCATTAGGACGGCGGTGAAGCTGAATAATAAAAGAATAATGCCACCATTAGTCTGTATACTCTGTCTACATTATTATTATATGGTTTAATTAATATTTATTTATAATTTAAAAACCCTTTACGCACCAAGATTAGGCTACGTGTGTTTGTGGAGGAACATTATTAAATCCACTGGCTTTAGCGCAGTCTCTCACTCATGGTGCGTCCAGCAGCTGAACACCCTTTCCTGCGGCTACAGGTCGAGATGCAGAGATCTGATCCGGCTGATTTTGCAAGTTTTGGGTAGGATTGTATGTTCATCTTCTACCAGTCAGGAACATGCATTTAATTTTCCATGACAGCAGTTTCACTTTAGCGAGTGGCCTCTTCTTTTTACCTGTCAGCTTGCGGTTTAGGGCTCTACCGTAATAGGCAGTGTATGAGCGACCACGAAATACCTGCGGCTGGAATAACCGCTCCTTATGAGCTAGTGACTGGCTTGACCACCGGCAAAATTAGCTTTTTTTACTACTTAGTCATCATTTGTTTCACCTTTGCAGGGATGGATTTTAATGCAGGGATTTGGATTTTTTCGGGTCTCGCCGGGTTCGGGCAAAGATCTTTAGTTCTAATGCAGACCTCTCGTTCATATTAACCACGTCTCCCTTCTGTTCAGTCGAAACTGCCAAACTGCAGGACACTTTGAAGCGCGATTCGTCACGTCACCTCTCCCCCTCCCTCTCCCCCTTCTCTCCCTCCCTCTCCCCCTTCCTTTCCCTCTCTCCTCCACACTGTCCCGTAATGACAACCACACATACGTTTTTGTAGGCATTAAATAAAGGATATTTCATATTTTTTGACGGTATAACGGTATTGAAACTGACACCATTGCTATTTTTAGATCCCGCGGTATACCATAATACCGTAATACCGCCCAAGCCTTCCACCATACCAAGTCTATGTAAAATGTAGCATTTTAGCCAACAATGGACCTACACATAGGCCTAATACTATTATTGTTGTTTTACCATATGTGTGACTTGCGACTAAAGATTGTTAGTGTTACCTAGTATAATCTATAATGCAGGGTCCTAAATGTCAGACAATTTAATATTGAATTAGTATTGACAGTGACTGATGACATAAACTTAAACATAAGCATTTATATTTTTCTTTATTTAATGATGTTTTGCTAAAAAGCAGCTCTGTGTGTTAAAAACAAATCCTCTATTTCTAAGAAGTTAAAACTGGAATACTTAATAGCAATAGAAAATTAAATCAATATCATATTATTATAATAAATTAATTGTACTAAGAACATGTTAGAATAACCTAATATTAATTTATTTGTGGTGACTGTAAATATTTGCAAATAACTCATTGATGTGTGCTGTTTTCACACATTTCACACTGAACACTGAACTTTTATCAACTTAGGAAAAATACTGTATGAAACATTCGAGAATCTCAGAGCAAAATCAGAAAATACTATAAATGAACAAACAGCCTAATTAAGTTTTATTTTGGAGAATCGGATCTATAATAAAATTTTGGAGAAACTGATTTATCCATTTTGGTTGCTGGGAACATTGGCATTTCTGCTTTTGTGACTAAATTAGTCAAGTTATTTTTACTTTGTATACAATTTCATAGCAACCTGCCATGCCTTTGACTTGTGTCTATCCATCAAAAATAAAGGATAAAATGATTTACTTGGATTAATGGAAACTAAAGTTTCTAACGATTGGTGAGCTACTGTCTTTCATTGAAGCTGCTGTGGCTTTTGTACTTGGTAACCGGAACCTGAAATCATTGAGGGGGCTTGCAATACTGTTGAGCAGTTGTACCATGTGATTCATGTCCAAACACAGAGAGACCCAGAGTCCACTGCTGTCTAACAGGCAAGCACATTGTGTTTAAACTCAGACTGCTCAGCTATGACAGACCTTTTGGGCCAGATTGTTGGGGATGGATTGTGTAAGTAGAGTAACTATTATTTTGCTTATTGTATTTAAGTTTAGATATTATAATCGTGTTCTGACTTTCCAGTCCTATTGTTGTTAGGATTGCTTACCTAAAAAAATTCTGTCACCATTTGCTTACCCTTCATACATTTATAACTTATGAGTTTTTGTCTTCAGTTTAACCCAAAAGAAGAAAAGTTTAAATTTGTGGTTACAGATAAGGTAAGGTAATGGTAAGGTTAAGGTTAAGGTTTATGGTAACCTTAGAGGCAGTGGTTACCATTATCAAAGACAGGTATCCAACAAGTGGAACATGAGCAAATGATGATAGAACATTGAATTTTTACGTTGTTTAATTGCTTATATCTAATATTCAATGCAGTAGAAAAAAATGTCATTGAGGAGGTTCTGGCATGTGCAAAATTGGCCCCAGCCCAATCCCTATGGACTACAGAGGCCAGTGGATCAGTTCAGTTGAGAATGGATGAACACTGTCCAGAACAGCCCATCACTGTGCATCAGATGTTTTATAACTCAGTTCAGAAGTATGGAAATCTGACAGCTTTGGCAAGCAAAAGAGGAAATAAATGGGAAAAAGCTACCTTTCTAGAATATTATCACCTTTGTCGAATGGCTGCCAAAGGCTTTCTAAAGGTGATCTAAATTTCTGAAATGTTCTTATTATCAAACATCAATGTTACAAAATGTATTTGCACAGCCCACAGTCCCATAATTTATGTGAATGCTATGTATGTCGTATGGTATTGTATGGTTGTTTTCACACATTTTTGATGTGCTTTCACATGTTTTTCTAGCTTGGTCTGGAGCAGTTCCACGGTGTAGCTATTTTGGGTTTTAACTCAGCTGAATGGTTTATTGCTGCTGTTGGAACTGTATTTGCAGGGTAAGAAATAATTATAGTTTTTTTTTAAATATGAATACACTGTATACTTTACATTATAAACATTACATGGTCAAGTTTTGTTGTTGATAAACCAGTGTTGTACAGCCAATCACTTTCATGAACTCAAAGGCTAAAATGTCAAAATATAAACTCTAAATAGATTCATGAGTGTATAATTACATCTAGATACAGCTAGATTTTGTGCAGTGAAACTGATATTACTTGCTCTTGTTTCCTCCACAGTCCAAAGACATGTGCTTTAGGTGAATTGAATAAACTAAATTGGCCATGGTGTGCGGAAGGACATCCGCTGCATAAAACATATGCCAGAATAGTTACCAGTTCATTCTGCTGTAGTGACCTCTGATAAATTAGTGACTAAGTCAAAGAAAAATGAATGAATGAATGAATAAAAGTATTAAATTTGCTGTGCATCTTTTGTATTTTGTATATTGTGCACATACAGAGGACATATGTTGTCAGATTAATGAACATGTACTGTACTGTGCATTCTGGATTAAACCGAGCAATATTTGTCATTGCCTCAGTTATTTCAACTTCTCATAAATCATACCGACATGATTTCAGGTGATTCCAGGGTTAACAGTTACAAGGAAAAAAAAACATTTATACATTGTTCAATCTCTTGTACCATCAAACACATCCTATTGTGAACATAATAAAGTGATAAGTGAATACTGCTGTTAGAAACATTGTCTTTATATCTGTATCTTGTTTGTGTGTTAGGGGTATAATGGCGGGTATCTATACCACAAACTCACCAGATGCTTGCCTCCACGTTGCTAATGACTCAAGAGCCAATGTTATTGTTGTGGAAAATCAAAAACAACTGGATAAAATTATGCAGGTAACATGTTGTTTAATTTATTATCAGGATCACAACATAATGAACAACTTATTTATACCCCTAGTTATATTTTAGGTAAAGGATAAGCTGCCACATTTGAAAGCCATAGTTCAGTATTCTGGATCATTAAAGGAGAAGCTGGCAAATCTTTATTCTGTGAGTGTCTGATGTGCAAAGGTCTGTCTAAGTTACAATGTAGGACAAAGTTAAGTTTGTTTGACTTATTGCCTTGACCATTTGGACAGTGGGAAGAGTTCATGGAACTAGGACTAGAAGTCTCTGATCATGAACTAGATGAAGTCATCAGTAAACAGAGAGCCAATCAGTGCTGTGTGCTTATTTACACCTCTGGGACAACTGGATCGCCAAAAGGAGTGATGTTGAGCCATGACAATGTAAGTTGTAATGAAATTTAACTGTCTTGTTAACATGTAATTCTTGTAGATAAGTGGTAATCAATATATTTTTTTTTAAATAGCAGAATTACAAAGATCCTAAACCTATATATATATATATATATATATATATATATATATATATATATATATATATATATATATATATATATATACGACTCACAATATGATCAACTAAAAAGCAGGGGCCTGAGGACAGTTTATTAGAAAATTCATAGAAAGAAAACTCACATTTCAGTGATTCACAGAACAGCCGCATGCAGCACTTTTAAGTGGGGTTGCATAGTTTATTTGACTTCTGATACCTGGCATGTTTTAGTTTTTGCCAGCGCATCAATATCAGGCGTCACATCCTGAGAGGCTGCCAACTTCAGGATGTGCTCTGTAACATCCACCATAAATGTAAGGTCCTGCATTCGTTCTGGGCAATGAAACTCTAATGCCTGTTTCAAACCGCAAGTGCAAGCAGTGCGTGAGCAGCGCGTTTTTTGGCGTCCATGTTAACAGATTAGAGCTTTCATACCGCACCCTGAACTGAATTGAACTTAATTAACTGCATGTGAATCTTCCCTCACTTCTGTTGTCCCAGACCCTTACATGATAGTAGACTTGGCTACACATGGATGCAGCAGCAAAGGACAGCAAGACGGGGCTTGCTGCTCACAAGATGGTTGCCATCAGTCCACCAATGCACAGGATAGCTGCCGCAAGTTCTCCAGTCCACAAAATGACCGACTGGGGCTGTCAAAATTAGCACGTGAACACACGTGATTAATTTGAAATATTTGACGCGTTAAAAAAAATAACGCAGTTGCAGTTTTTTTTTTTTTCTGTTATGGACGATGTGTGTTTAGGGGCAGCACGTGCATAGAGGCGACCCACCTCCTCCCTTACAGTCCTTACTTTTATCTGCGAACCGGTCACTTTCGGGATGAGGGCGGTGTGATTGGCGTTTGACTAGAGCTCCAGTTCAGCTTGCTCCAGCCCTGCGTGTGTTTAACGTGCAAAGAAATTTGGATAAGACCAAGGACGTGCTTTTAGAAGTTTCAGTGTAAAACAAATAATGTCGCATTACCAGGCTATCCTGCGTTTCCTCCAGAGTTTCATGCAATTTCGGGTGTTTCATTTTTATTCTTTAGACTTTAGGCAAGGCAAGTTTATTTATATAGCACAATTCATGCACAGTGGCTATTCAAAGTGCTTTACATAAACAAGAATAAAAGAGACAAGTGTAAGAAAAAGAAAACAAACAATAAAAACAAATAATAAAATAAGAATAAAAATAGATAAAACAGATAAAAATGTGTTAAATTATGTTTTAAGATAATGAAAAAGAAAAGAAAAACATAATTGTGCGATCTTTCGGACGCAGCACAGTGCTCATTCAGTAAAGGCTTAGCTAAACAGATGTGTTTTCAGTCTTGATTTGAATGTGCCCAATGTTGGAGCACATCTGATCATTTCTGGAAGCTGATTCCAGCAGCGAGTGGCATAGTTGCTGAAAGCTGATTCACCCTGCTTTGACTAAACTCTTGGAACTTCTAGTTTATATGATCCTAAAGATCTGAGGGATCTGTTAGGTTTGTATTCAGTCAGCATATCTGTAATGTATTTTGGTCATAGGCCATTTAGTGATTTATAGACCAGTTGTAATACTTTAAACTATATTCTGAATGTAACTGGGAGCAGGTGTAGAGACTCTGAGTGCTCTGATTTCCTGGATCTAGTCAGAATCCTGGCCGCAGCGTTCTGGATAAGCTGTAATTGTCTGACTGTCTTTTTGGGAAGGCCAGTGAGAAGGCCGTTACAGTAATCCACCCTACTGCCGATAAAAGCATGGACAAGTTTCTCTAAGTCTTCACTGGAAACAAAGCATCTGATTTTTGCAGTTTTTCTGAGATGATAGTATGCTGATTTACTTACTGCTTTGACATGACTATTGAAACTCAGATCTGACTCCAGAGTCACACCAAGATTCTTGACCTTATTTTTTGTCATTTGACCCTTAGTGCCAAGGTGCACATTCACCTTGAAAACCTCATCTTTGTTCCCAAACGCAATCACTTCAGTTTTCTCTTTGTTTAACTGAAGAAAGTTTTGGCACATCCAACTGTTAATTTCATCAATGCATTGGCAGAGGGTGTCAATGGGGCTGTAGTCATTAGGCAGTACGGCTAAGTAGATCTGAGTGTCATCAGCATAGCTGTGGTTGGAGATTTGGTTCCTTCTGATTATTTGGCGTAGAGGGAGCATAAAAAGGTTGAACAGGAGAGGTGCCAGAATCGAGCCTTGTGGAAATCCACATGTCATGGGTGTCCACCTCAACCTAAAGTCACCTATACTGACATGGTAACCTCTCCCTCCAAAGTAAGATCTGAACCATTTGAGGACCGTCCCAGATAGCCCAACCCAGTTTTCCAGCCTATCCAGAAGTATGCTGTGATCGACAGTGTCAAATGCGGCACTGAGCTCGAGCAATACCAGCACTGTTAGTTTGCCTGAATCTGTATTTAGGCGTATATCATTGAATATCTTTATAATGGCGCTCTTTGTACTGTGATGTGCTCTGAAACCAGATTGAAAATTGTCTAAACACCCCTTTAAGTTTAAAAACTTGTTAACCTGGTTGAAAACAACTTTTTAAAAGATTTCGCCAATGAAAGCGAGATTTGAGATTGGTCTGAAATTGCTCAATAGGGTGTTATCCAGGTTGCTCTTCTTCAAGAGAAGTTTAACAACTGCAGTTTTAAGTGATTTTGGAAAAATCCCTGAGAGAAGTGAAGCATTTACCACTTTTAGAAGATCTATTTGTAAACAGGTAAACACTGTTTTGAAGAATGATGTGGGGAGCGTGTCAAGACTGCAGGTTGATGTTTTCAAAATTTGCACAATCTCTTCTAAGATTTTACCATTAATTGCCATGAAATCCGACATAATGTCTGATTTCTTAAGTTGTGGTTGAGCTTGTCTGACGTTGATACAACTTGGCTGATTGGATAAGCTGATTGTCTTTCTAATAATATTGATCTTGTCAGTAAAGAAATGAGCAAACTCATTACATTTGCTTTCAGAGAGTAGCTCACTGGGAATCTGAATGGGGGGGGGGGGGCTTTGGGGGAAGGTTGTGAATCTCGTTACAAAGAGTGAATTATCGTTGCAAAGAGTGTACGAGCATTATTTACGTTATGGTTTGCAGTGAGAGTTCCAAATTAAAAGCATGAAGACTGTCTTTATAGATATTATAATGGACTACTAGTTTCGTCTTTCTCCACATTCGCCCAGCTTTTCTGCATTGTCTTTTCATCATTTGGACTGCTCTCGAGTTTCTCCAAGGGGCTCTCTCTTTGCCAGTTCTCTTCCTGAGTTTAACAGGAGCAATGTCATTTATGACAATCTTAACTTTAGAGTTAAAAAAATCCAGGAGAGTATCAGTCTGTAGATATATTTGGTGCTAGCGATATGGCCTTCATAAACTGCTCACTGGTGTTCTCATTTATGCATCTCTTTCTGACAGATACAGATCTGCCTTTAAAAGCTGGAGTGATCAATATATCAAAGAAAATACAGAAATGATCAGATAGTGCCACATCCTTAACAACAGTCGCTGAAATGTGTAAACCCTCAGTTATAAGTAGATCAAAAGTGTGTCCACGATTGTGTGTGGGTCCTTGAACATGCTGAGTCAGATCATAAGTGTTAAAAACACTCATCAGTTCTTTTACAGCATTGATTTCTGGAATATCAATGTGAATATTAAAATCCCCAACAATACTAAAATAGTCAAATTCAGATGTTACTATTTATAACAGCTCTGTAAAATCATCAATAAAAGATGGAGAATATTTTGGAGGTCTGTAAATAATGATCAGTAAGTTGCGTGGAGCACCCTTTAGTGCTATACGCAGATATTCAAAAGACAAATAGTCACCAAATTACACTTGTTCACACACATCGATATCTTTAAACAGGGCAGCGATGCCCTTTAACTGCAGTTCAGTAGTTTTCTCCCATTCAGCATATTTTCATTCAGGATATTTTACTGGAATTTGATACAGCAAGGCAAACAGAAAGAAAAACCTCCCCTGAAAAGGAGTTAGGAGGGAGGATTTAGGCAGCTAGCTTGAAGCCAGTGGTGCTGTTGGTAAGAACAGAGGTCCAATCTAGTTACTACATTTAGTTGCTTTTTATTAGCCATCAACAAGGATTTGTGTGTGTGTGTGTTTGTGTGTGTGTTTGTAGTCCACTTAGAATCCAACATGGAATTCATTTTTGTTTGTTATTGGCACTGATTGTTTTGAAATTCAAATGGCACTTCCATGGCTGTGTTTTTATTTCTGTAATAAATAGGGTGTTTCGTGATTAATCATGATTAATTACGTCAATTACATTTTATGATTATTCATGATTAATTACAAAAAAGTGTGATTAATTACGTTTATTTTTAAACATTTGACAGCCTGACTTGATTATAAAGATTATATTAGACATTTTATTTGATTTTTTTTTCAGTTTATTTTATATTACATTAAGTTGCTAAGTGAATTTAAATTTATCCTGTAAGACCTGAAACTACTCTGAATTTTGCTGTAATATGTATTTTAAAAAACTCTGTGTATATAGAAAAATAATGAATGACAATTAATAAGACTTTAAGAAATTTTGCAGTAAACATCTAAATATGTAAATAATAACTTTATTAAATTATTAGCCATTTTTATATTATTAGTAACAGAATCAGATTTTTACAGTGTCATTGTAATCATCTGCATCTGTATATTACAATAATCAGATATCAAAACTTTATAAGCAAACTGGGTTGTTTTGTTCAGCAAGGACATATTGCATATCAAACTGTGTGTTTCTGTAGTGGTTGAGTCATCTGTATATTACAAAAAGAGCATAATCAGGAATGGCTAAGGCTTCAAATAAACCTCAAATATACTTCAAATTAAATCAAACAACAAACTAAAAATGTCGCATAAAATATGGCTAAAATAATGTTTTTTTTTTTTTTTGACAGTTTAAAACAGCTCACCAAAGCAAACTTTTTGGGCCGTTCATCTTGGCTCCTTATTACCATTGAGTTACTGTCACGGTCGGTGAGGGGAAAAAGGAGCGAGGACTCAGGTGCAGCAAATAATGGGTTATTAACAATAAAATAAAAACAAAAAGGCAAAACAAACAACCCCGAGGGGGAAAACTAATAAAACAAATAAACGAACAAGCAAACTTGACTGGACTGGCAGGACAAGACAGGGCTGGACACAACAAGACAGGAAACTATCGACGACGAACTGGCAAAGGACTGAAAACATGAGGGGGATTATAAAGCAAAAAGTAAATTGACACACAGGTGAACACGACAAACTAATAATGAGTAAACAAGGAGGGTGGGACTAGACAATAGACGGGAGAGCGCATGACACAGAGAGACGACACAAGCCATGCGCTCACATAACACAGGACAAGAACATGCGGCCAATGAGAGAACTCATTAACCGCATGTTCATGACAAGACAAGCACAACACTGAAGCACACGACAAAATAACCACAATGTAAACACTGAGCCACGTGCTTTGACAAAAGACACAAGACACGAGCGCACGATAGTTAAACACCTTACCGTGCGCTCACACTTAAGCAACGCACATGCTTCATCTCAGCGCCAACCAAAACCGAAACCAACTAGACGGAGGCGCCGAGAATAAAGCAGCGCGATGCTGACAGAACAAACAAACACTAGTATAAGAGCGCGCTCGTCTGAGGGACGCAGAGCGCGCGCGGCCACCAAGCGGCAGCGCGCACACCCTGCGTACACCCACGACGGCGCGCGCGCACACAGAGACAGAAACAGACATGGGTAGTGTCAGAGCTCTGCCACCAAAACAAGAATTTACAAGAACAGAGTGGCAGAACCCTGACATTTACCATTGGTCCATCAGGATTAAAAGTGTGTTCTGGAATTCTGCTTTCTTTGAGATAAAAGTTATTTGTATCTCTTATTTGTGTAAGTCAGACAGGGTAGCAAAACATAAAAAAACAACACAATCAAGTTAGCAACATGAATAAACAGTAGGACCTAGAAGCAGAGCTGATATCGATGCATCCACACCTGTACGATTGCTTGCAGATACATTTTTAAGTCTTAGAGGGGGTCACACACTAGAGGAGAAGAGCCACCATGTTTTGCAATGTCTCAATGTTCTAAACACTGTTCCATTATGTCAGTTTGCAGCAAATAGAAAACACTGTAAAAATATATATAATAATAATAATCAGAATCTGTTTGAAAGTAGCTAAGCTCTGCTCAAAAAATCACTAAATATCACTAGATGATGTGATGCTTAAATTTGCATATTACTAATATCATCATGTGTTATTTATATCTAAATGTATTATGTGTTTAATAGTGTATATTTTGTAAATGTATCTCAGTTTACAGTGCTGTGTACTATAAATATAGTACAGTAGTGTCTCAGATGAAATCAACTAACTTAGACAAATTAAGAAACTGATACAGTGTCACTAAAGCTTTTTATTGTAAGCAATATACATGCCTGAGAAAAATAATTTGAAAAAAAAAACTTTTTCTCTGACAACATAGCATGCATATGGACAGCATATGTTTGTGTGAGCAACACTGCCGTTTTAGAGTGTTCAAAAAAGTACATCATCACTCAGCCTTTTAAAATTTCTTTTGCCTCATACAAAGAATGGGTCTTTTCAACGACTCAGAATCAATCAAAGAATACATCAAAGAGAGGTGTTTTGTTGATTTAAAGGTTATGTATTTGACTGATAAGGCTGTATACAAGGATGACTATTCAAAGCAGCTTTAAAGAGAACCAATGATGTATAGATTTTACCAATTTTGAATTCTGGACTCTTACAGATTACATGGACAGCCCACCATGCAAGCAGAGCTGGAGATATGCAGCCAGCTGAAATCAGACAAGAGTCTCTGGTCAGTTACCTACCTCTTAGCCACATTGCTGCCCAGATCTACGATCTTTGGACAGGGATAAAGTGGGGGGAGCAAATTTCCTTTGCCCAGCCAGATGCTCTAAAGGTAAATATTGAAGAACGGGATATTTGTATAGCTACAGTGGGGGAATATTCAATATTCATGTATATTCAATACATCACCATTTCTAAAGGTGCTATTGAGGTGGAATTTTCACCAGATGTTGGTGACACCCAAAGAAATCCATATATGCAAAGAAAACAATATTAATTAGTTTACAAATTAAATTATAAAATAAAATAAAATTAAATGACACAGGGAAAAAAGTATAAGCACAGGAAGAAAGAGAGCTGTAGACAGGCAGCTAAAGTCCAGACTGCAGCTGAAATCTCTTGGGAGTTATTCAGCAACCCATTTCGTAATTGTAAATGTCAGCTGCTTTAGTCCAGCATCTACATTACCAGAATGATGAAACCAGAGTGGACTTTTTAGCAGGACAAGGGTGCAAAACACAGCTAAAGAAAACTCTCCAATGGTTTCAGTAAAAGTTTGTGAAACTTTGAAAAAAAAAAAAAGAAATCACACCTGAGCAAAGCATGATACGCTCTGTATAAGAGGCATATTTAAGCTGCCATCACCAATAAAGCATTGTGCATAAACTATTAAACACGTTTCTGTAGTTTAGTGGATTATCCTGGTGTCATTCCATTGTTAATACTGTAGCAAAATTAGCTAAATTTCTGAATTATGGATTATTGATTAACTTTAACAAGTTATTATTAATTATGAATATTAATAATTAAATTATAGTTAATTTAACAATATAAATATAACAATGACTTCGCCTGCTTGTCTTTAGTTTATTTATTTAGAAAGGGAATTAATTATACTTCTTGTGAAGTAGATGAATAGTTTTAAAAGTTTGATCAAACTTAAATAAGCTGGTAGCAAGATCTTTTACGTTTAAAGTGATCGTAAAGACAATCAAGCATATATATTAGGGATGTGTGGAGCAGCCGGTATTTGTATTTGTATTTGTTGAGGGGGGAAAAGTATTTGTATTTGTATTCGAGTAAAATTCAAAATGGCGCAAAAATATATATTTTTTCTAATACACTTCTAATTTACATTATAGTGAAAGCATTGTTTTATTATACCCATTATATAAATTATAGACATGCAATATTGGTTGTTGTTTTTGAACATGTGACAAGAAATGTCATTGAAAAGAAAATAACATAGAAGCCATTATCTCATCCATGGTTAAACCAACAACTAATAAAATACCATTGTGAATATTATAAACCCCACCACCACCGTTCTTGTGGAAGGACACTGAATAGACAGAATAAAAACAAATAATACTTCAAAAAAACTTTTTTCCAATGGACAGAATTCCAAAAACTAAAATTAACTAAATAAATCTAAATAAAACCCTGCCTGGGAGATCTGGCAGAACAAAAGTATTCTATATAATACTAAAAGATACAGCCCTGCTATTGTCATCTGCCAGCCACAAAACACACAAAGTTTGTTTGTTTTTATGTTTGAAACTGACTTGCTGGGGCAGAATGTGGCTGTGTTGATGGTTTGGTGATTGTGGAGGATTTAGCAGAACATAGCTGTGCTGATTGAGGGGATTGATGCTTGTGGGGGGTTCACAGACAGTATCAGGAGAGGATGCTTTTAGTGCATGTGATAATACATTACATAGAAGGTTGCGCGGTGGCACAGTGAGTAGCACTGTCGCCTCACAGCAAGAAGGTTGCTGGTTCGAGCCCTGACTGGGTTCTCCCCATGTTGGTGTGGGTTTCCTCCGGGTGCTCCGGTTTCCCCCACAGTCCAAACTGATGCAATACAGGTGAATTGCGTAAGCTAAATTGTCCCTACTTTATGTGTGTGAAAGAGAGTGTATGGATGTTTCCCAGTGCTGGGTAGCAGCTGGAAGGGCAGCCACTGCGTAAATCATATGCTGGATAAATTGTTGGTTCATTCCACTGTGGCAACCCCAGATTGATAAAGGGACTTAGCCGAAAAGAAATGAATGATTATGCATAGAAGATGTTGACAGATGTTTAATATCTCTGCCTCTGCTGATTTCACTTTTGCACACATTATACAGTATCAGTTCGTTTTATCTGCAGCTCCACTGACTGTAAAATTCTTCCAGAAAGAACATGAAGGTTTTTTTTTTGACTGGTGGAGGACCAAGAAATGGCTCAGATGCAGTCTCACTCTTTTTCTATTCGGGTGCCCAAATGTATTTGAGGAGTTTCAAGTTAATAAAAAGTGACGGGAAGCTATGCTAAGGTTAACTAGCCTATAGCATATATCTTGCTGTCTGCAAAAGACAGTAATGTAGACGTACCATATAACTCCCATAAGTGCATACTATTCGACACAACTGCAAAAGCATCATTTTAACCTTTATAAACGAACGTTAACATTACTCTGTCAACAGTCTATTGTCTAAATTACTGTGCTAACAGAGCTAAAGTTGCGTAAACAGAGAGCACCCGATTGCAAACTTCAAAAATGCAGCGTAATGGAAAATCCCGATCAAACTCCTAAGTTTATAAACTGCATCTGGAACCCAATTAAGGTACAAAAATCTATTTAACAAAAATACTGATGCAGTGAAGTATTTTTTTCGCTCAGCTAAGCCTTCTCTGTCTGTATCTGTGGAGAAGCTTGTGCCTGACACATTTTATCTCCGCCCCGCCCTCCGACTACTGACTGAGCGTCTCTCCATCTCTCTCTTTCTCTCTCTCTCTCTCTCTCACTCACTCACTCACTCACTCACGCGGACATGCACTGTGGTCTCATGAGGAAACGCTGCTTTTTGATATAATGTTTTTCTTGCTCCCGAATACAAATAATTTTTCAAGTATTTGTTCGAAATAAGTATTCGTAAAAACACGCTATTCGTGCCTTTCCGAATACCGTATTCGGGTTCGGCTTCACCCTTAATATATATATATTTATATTTATTCAACAGTTCTGTCTGGTTCTCAAATCTGATTGGCTGATAGCCGTGCGATATTCTGCAATATCAGAACTCCGACAGCCTCTATTACTCTATTATTATTATATATTATTATTATTATTATTATCATTATATTATTATTATTATTATTATTACTCTATTACTCCGACCTACAGCCAGCAAAAAGCAGACACTACAGATCCAAATTTTAAAAGATGTACACTCAACTGTTTAACTGTCAGATTATGATTTGAATCCGGAAGAAAGTAGTTCCTCTTACAAAAAGGTTTTTGAGACTCTCCATGTTTGATTTTGTTTTTATATACACAATTATGCCCTCAAACCGTTGTATAAACGCAATATCACACTCGTAGCAGTGCGATATGGCTGTATATCGGCACTGGTGGGGGCACTAAGACAACGCACGCCTCCCACCAGTGCCGATATACAGCCATTGTCACCGACTCGGTCCCAGTCATTCCCCTCGCTGGCCAGCAGAGGCCGCCATCCCCTGACTTCTAAGCATTACATCACATCCACTTAGACTGATTGTGCACACACCTGAACTGAATCCCGTTAACGACCCACGCTCCCTATATAAGCCACACTCTAACACTAGTTCATTGCAATGTCTTGTTCAGCCACGGCCAACATTTCTGAGCGTTATTCCTTGCCTGATCTTCTGTGCATTACCCCGGACTGTTTCTGACTCTGAGTTGCCTTCTGCCTGCGCTTGACCCACGCTTGTTATACGGACTCTAACCCACGCTGCCTGCCTACGACCCACGCTTGTTATACAGACTCTGAACCACGCCGCCTGCCACTGATCTATGCCTGGTAAACCACTCTGTGTCTGTCAGCCACCAGCCCCACGATCTTTATTGAATACTGTTGATGTGAGTTCGCACTTTAGTGCGTGTTGGATGTTTGTGTTTGAACTGTGTCTAATAAATACTGCAAAATGAATCCCTCCGTGTCAGTCTCCACGTTACAGCCATATCGCACTGCTACGAATGTGATATTGCTCATATATATATATATATATATATATATATATATATATATATATATATATATATATATATATATATATATATATCTATGTCAGAGGTCGCGTTAACCGAATATTTTCCATCATTGACAGATTTTTTTTTTTTTTAGCAGTGACGGAAAAATTTGAAGGTGATCGATCAGTTGGATGAATTATGCTGAGGGGGATCTATTGTAATTTGTTGCTAACTGTAATTCCCACTCCTGTCCAGCTGATGCCGATTGTTCTTGTTTTGTCTCCTCTTGTAACTGTAGGAGTCCATCTATTAACCCAATTACGAAACTAATATCATGGTCGAAGGTTTAATGCATGTAAGCCTTTTCTAGTGCTTCTGAAAAGAATTTTAGAATTTATTAATATTCGTTTTTAGCTCCGAATTTAATCTGACTCCAATTTAAATAATCCTAAAATTTAGATTGTATTTCTAATTGTAAAAACGGATCACATTCATCATTTATGATTTAATTTAGAGTTTTGATATTTTCTGGGGTCCGATATTCTAAATTGTACGTTCATTAATGACCAACATCGCTTAAAGGTCTTAAAGTTGCTTAAAGGTCAAGAAGGGGGGCTTGGGGTGAAAGGAGAAGGGTGCATTCTTGCATTCTTCACTGATCTTGTCAAAGACATACAGTCAGAAATATTTAATCAGGATGACTTGAATAGAACAGTTGAACAGCTGGTTTCCTTATCACTTCTCAGATCAGAAAGTCAATTGTAGCATTGCATAGCAATTCTTAAGGTCTTGCCTCATGAAAATCCATAAAAGTTATTAGGGTCTGATTTTCTGGAGAGATTTAGCCATCTTACATAATCGCTGCATAGATGCAAAAACAGACAAACCTGCCAACACTCCCGTTTTTCCCGGTAGTCTCCCGTATTTCAGACCCATCTCCCACCCATCTCTCGTATCGTATATCATTCTAACTCCTGGAAAACTCCCGGAATCCCCCCCGAAATCATCCCGCTCTTCAGATTTGGGAACAGTCCTAATGCGTACCGAACACAACACACAACCGTCTCTATACCTGCTCCGCGCCTTTCAGTACACGCACAACACACCTACCC